ATCCTCAGATCTCAGCCTCCTGAGTAGCTAGGATTACAGGCGTGAGCCACCAGCGCCCGGCTTGTGTCTAAATTCTAAACCAAAGAAAGGGATGGAAGGAAGAGAGGGAGGGAGGGAGGGAAGGAAGGAGGGAAAGAAATGCTGGTAGCCCATACCTGTAATCCTAGCTTCTCAGGAGGCTGAGATCTGAAGATTTTAAATGAATAAAAAGGACTGGGAACGTGGCTAAGTGGTAGAGTGCTTGCCTTGCATGTCTGAAGCCCTGGGTTCGATTCCTCAGTACTGTTAGGATCCATCACGAGCATCCCAGGGGACCACGTGGAGGCAGGCAGGCACAGGACAAAGATTATTATAAGGTTTATTAGAGGGGCCATATATCCCCTGGAGAGGGAGCAATATGGCATCTGCCCCCATCCAGGTGAGTAGCTCTGGGACAAGTGGCATGGGCAGGTAGGTCTGGGGGGAAGAGGCAGTGGCCAAGCAGGGAGGAGCTCAGGTCTGGGTGGAGCTGAGAACCAGAGGTAGGGATAATGCTAACAAGTACCAAGTATATAAAAAAATGCCAGACTTGGCTCAAGTGGTAGAGTGCTAGTCTTAAGCAAAAGAAGCCCAGGGACAGTAGCCAGGCCCTGAGTTCAAGCCCCAGAACTGGAAAGAAGAAGGAAGAAGGAAGGAGAAGGAGAAAGAGAAGGAGAAGAAGAAGAAGAAGAGGAGGAGGAGGAGGAAAGAAAGAAAGAAAGAAAGAAAGAAAGAAAGAAAGAAAGAAAGAAAGAAAGAAAGAAAGAAAGAAAGAAAGAAAGAAAGAAAGAAAGAAAGAAGGAAAGAAAGAAAGAAAGAAGAAAGGAAAGAAAGAAAGAGAAAGAATAAAATTCAGATGTTCCTGCCGAGGCAGGCTATAAACCATGATTCTCTGATTTTAGGCTACTGAGTAGCTAGCATTATAGGCATGAACCACCAGCACCTGGTTAAAAAAAAACAAAACTTTTTTATGGAGCAACAAGAACTGGGAGAGCTGAGGTGACCAGGTTCCTCAGGCAGCCAAAGCCAGTATTATAATTTGAACTCAGGGGGCTGGGAAGGTGGCTCAGTGGTAGAGCGCTTGTCTTGCATGCATGAGCCCCTGGGTTCGATTCCTCAGCACCACATAAGCAAAAAGAAAAAAGCCGGAAGTGGCGCTGTGACTCAAGTGGTAGAGCGCTAGCCCTGAGTTGAAGAGCTGAGGGACAGTGCCCAGGCCCAGAGTTCAGGCCCCAATCGGACCTCCCCCCCCCAAAAAAAATTTGAACTCAGCACCAGTCTCTAAGACCAAAGGCCCTGAGAAGAGTAGCTAGGCAGGGACAGCACAGGCCTGCCATGCTGGCTCAGTGATCCTCACACCATGTATCCTCGATTCATTGAAGAAGAAACTGAGGCAGTGCCGCACTGTGCCCAGCCCTTTTGTCTGCAGCTGAGGATGGGGCTAGAGCCCCTTCTTGATCTTCCCTGGAGATTGGAGAAAGACTTGCAGAGAAGCTTGAAGAAGGCATGAGGCCTGACCTGTCCTTGCTCCTAACTGTCATCTAAAATCCTTTTTATCGAATTATCGGAGTATAATGGGAGGAGGAGTCAGAGAGTATGCCTGGAAGTTCCAAAACCAGGGCTTTGCTGGGGCAGAAGAAAATAAAGCCCCAAAGGCTCCCTGGGACCAGTATGAAATATGTATTTTTACATAATTGAGAGAAGAAAAATAAGCGGACCAGGCTGTCCCTTGAGGAATACGCCTTGCTCTGTATTTCCATTATCTTGTTTAATGCACAGTTGGGCGGGAGCCTTAGTGGGAAAGAAAATACGGAGCCTTCTCCCTCTGAGTCTCCTGGTGGGTTAAGAGACGGAAGGAGCCAAGATGTAGAAATCCAAAAGGCTGGGTGTGTGCTCCATTAGAAATGGAGGGGTCAGCCTGCTGGGAGAGGATGACTGAGCCTCTCTCTCTCTCTCTCTTTCTCTCTCTGCTCTCTATGAACTTTGATTCACCAGTAGCTCTGGGGTAAATAGTCCAAGTATGACCAGTCCCCAGAGTTAGGAAATAGGGATGGATTTTTCTAAAGAGCTGCATCTAGACCAAACATTTATTTACTGAGTATGTCTTTAAGTATGTAGCTAGTGATGGTTTGCGCATTAGCCCACACCAGTTGTTTCTTTTCTTTTCTTTTTTGGTTGGTCATGGGGCTTGAACTCTGGGCCTGGGCACTGTCCCTGAGCTCTTCAGCTCAAGGTGAGCGCTCTACCACTTGAGCCACAGTGCCATTTCTGGTTTTCTGGTGGTTAATTGGAGATCAAAGCTCAGAGGCTTTCCTGCATGGTCTGGCTTTGAACCGCAACCCTCAGATCTCAGTCTGCTGAATAGCTAGGATTACAGGCATGAGTCACCAATGCCCAGCTGTTTCTTTTCTTTTATTCTTTATTTCATTCTTTAACTATTCTTATTCTTTTGTTTGCCAAGGTTACCCTGCTACTGAGTGGCATTTGCATTATTTTGTTGTTTACCAGGCTTGGATGAAACGAAAAGAAGGGTTTTTGTAAGCATGTAACCAAATGGCACAGACATGAAGACCACAGATAGATAGGGAAGCTTCTTTACCTTTTTTTTTTTTTTTGGTCAGTTGGTCTTGAGGCTTGAGCTCAAAGCCCGGTGCTTCCCTGAGTTTTTTGCTCAAGGCTAGAGCTCTACCACTTTGAGCCACAGCACCACTCCAGTTTCTGGTAGTTATTTGAGATAACAGTCTCACAGATGTTCCTTCCTGGTCTGGCTTTGAACCACAATCCTCAGATCTCAGCCTCCTGAGTAGCTATAATTACAGGCATGAGTCACCAGCACTCATTTTTTTTTGTTTGTTTGTTTTTGTTTTTTACTAGTCCTGGGGCTTGAACTCAGGGCTTGAACACGGTCCCTGAGCCTCTCTGTGCTCAAGGCTAACACTCTACCATTTGAACCATAGCACCACTTCTGGCTTTTTCTCTGTATGTGGTAAGGAATCAAACCCAAGTCTTCATGCATTCTGGGCAAGCACTCTACCACTAAGCCACTTTTTTTTTTTTTTTTTTTTTTGTCATGGAACTTGAACTCTGGGCCTGGGCACTGTCTTTGCTCTCTTCAGCTCAAGGCAAGTGCTCTACTGCTTGAGCCACAGCGCCACTTCCGGCTTTTTTCTTTTTGCTTATGTGGTGCTGAGGAATGGAACCCAGGGCCACTGGCATGCAAGACAAGCGCTCTACCACTGAGCCACCTTCCCAGCCCTCACTTTTTTTTTTTATCATATATTTTATTTGAGAAGATGCTAGTGACCTATAGTGCGGCTGTGGCATTAAAAATTCCAACCTGGGAGTCAGGTGATCTTGGATCCTGGTCTTGGCTATGACATTGACTTGCTATATGACATTAAAAACTTTATCTACAAGGGCTGGGAAGAAAGTGGCTCAGTGGTAGAGCGCTTGCCTTGCATGCCTGAGGCCCTTGGTTCGATTCCTCAGCACTACATAAGCAAAAAGAAAAAAGCCAGAAGTGGCGCTGTTGCTTAAGTGGTAGAGTGCTAGTAGCCTTGAGCTGAAGAGCTGAGGGACAGTGCCCAGGCCCAGAGTTCAGGCCCCACGACCGGACCCCCCAAAAAAAATAATAAAAAAAAACTTTATCTACAAGTAATTGGACCAAATATAGGAAAAGAAAGAGATCCTCTAATGTATCTCTTCCAGTTGAGCACCTGTGGCTCACACCTGTAATCCTAGGCATTCAGAAGGCTGAGAACTAAGGATCGTGGTATGAAGCCAACCAGGGCATGAAAAATCTATGAAACTTATCTCAGTTAACCATCAAAAGGCCCGAAAATGAAGCTGTGGCTCAAGCAGTAGATTGCTAGCCTTGAGCTAAAAAGCTAAGGGACAATGTCCAGGTTCTGAGTTCAAGACCACCCTAATACACACACACACACACACACACACACACATACACACTGGTTTCTTTCTTTTTCTTTTCTTTCTCTCCTCCCTCCCCCATCCCTTCCATCCTAGGGCTTGAACTAAGGGCCTGGGCACTATCCCTGAGCTTCTTTTACTCAAGGCTAGCTCTCTACCACTTGAGCCACAGTGCCACTTCTGGCTTTTTCTGTTATGTAGTACTGTTTTTATGTAGTACTGAGGAATCAAACCCAGGGCCTCATGCATGCAAGGCACACACTACCACTAAGACACATTCCCAGCCTCAGCTCTCCTTCTGGCTTTTGCTGGTTAACTGGAGGTAAGAGTCTCATAGACTTTCCTGCCAGGGAGAACTTTGAACTGAGATCCTCAGATCTTAGCCTCCTGAGAAGTTAGGATTACAGGAATGAACTGAGGGTGTCCAGCTGGTGCCTCACATTTGTCCAGCTTTTAGACCTCTGATTGTATGGGCTCCTCACAACAATGAGACATCTGTGATCATTATTTGAGGTGGAGAAACCGAGGCTTGGAGATATGGTTCTGAGTCAGTGAATGATTTTTCTGACTCACAAACCCGTGAGGAATGGCAGTTATAAAGAGCAGATATTGAACTGGAGGCGTGGCTCGGTGGACGTGTGCCTGCTTAGCAAGCACAAAGGTTAGTGTTTAAACACCAGTAGTGCCAGGAAAAAAAAATGATACATTTTGAACTCAGGTCTTCGTGACTCGTTCGCAGGGTCGGGATTCGAACGTGGAGGAGCCATAGCCCGGGAGGGAGGGGGGGGCGCGGGGGTCAATAACCCTCCCTCCTACCCAGAGCGGACCAGTGAAGTCCCTGCCGAGGCTGGGGTGGGTGGAGCCTGTCCCGGAGCCCGCCCCTATTCCGCGGCTTGCGCCAATCATTGGCTGTGGCCCGCAGGTGCACCCTCAGCCAATCAGCGGTTCCGAGGGCGTGGCTTTCGAGGCACACCTGGGCGCCGCTGCCCTGCCTAGAAGCTTACTGGCGTCGGGAGCCGCAGAGCACCTGTGAGCACACGGAAGCCCCGGCCAGGCTGCAGCCAGTCCGGACCTCACCGGACCTCACCGGACCTCCGCCGGCGCTCGGCACCCGCCCGCCCGCCCGCCATGGGCGCTCCGTGCCGCCGCCTCTTTGCGCTCCTGCTTCTGCTGCTGCAGGTACGTCGGGTTCCCTGCCTTGGAGGAACACTTTCCGACCCCGCGCTCGGTGCCCCTCGCCCGGTTTCCCTTCATCCCCGTTTCTCTTCTTCCAAGAAAGTTTTGACTCGGGAGATCGGGAGGCTGCGCGGGGTCCGCGCGCGCGCGGCTTTCCCCCCACCCCCCGCCGGCGCCCAGGTGCGGGGAGGGCGGCGTCGCGGTGCAGGCCGGGGCCGGCCGGGGGGTGGGAAGAGGGGGACCCCAGGTGCTGCTGCATGGGCTTGGGGGAGGACCGGGGCGCGTGGAGCAGGACCGGGCTCGGCGTGTGAAAAAGGGAAGCCCCGATTCAAGTAAACGGGGGGGGGGACGGGAGTTGTGGGGCCGATCGTAGAGGTTGGGGAAGTCAAGGCACCTGCCGCGTGGGGAGGGGGTGCGTGGAATTAAGGCACCTGCTGTGCTCGTAGGACTAAGGGCGCCCTGGGCTAAGAAAGAGGGCGGAAGGCGTTCGGGGAACGGGACGGGGAAGTGGGATTGAAAGCGATCTTGTTTGGAGGAAAGTGTGGAGGCCGCGAGGAAAGAGTGGGCTGGGTCGTGGGCGGCGGGCCCGCGGCCCCCTCGGTGGGAGTTCCTGGGGGAGGTGGGGGCAGGTTTCGGGGTGGGAGCGGCTGACGTCGCTGTCTGCCCCGGGATGGGGGGCGGGGGGAGCGGATTCCCATAGTCCCGACGCCCGGGGCGAGGGAGGCGCGGCCCTGTTGGTTTCGGTGTGGGTAGGAGGGAACCCCCCCCCGCAAGTCACCTGGCTCTGTACCTTTCCCCCTCTCCCCCGCTAGGTCTCTGCGAGTCTCTGCCAGGAGCCCGGGCCCTGCTACCCTGGCTTTGGTGCCGAGAGCTACACGTTCCTGGTTCCCCGCTGGCATCTGGAGAGAGGCCACGTCCTGGGCAGAGGTGAGGGCGGGGCGCCGGTGTGTCCGGGCGGGGTGAGGTGGGGTAGGGGAAGGGGCCTGGAAGTTGGTCACCCGGACGCTTGGATTGGAGTGCGCTCGCCTCCCGCTGAATCCAACGACGGCTCCTTGGAATTTACACAGATTTGTTGCTGTTGTTGTTTGGGGGGGGGGGGGGGTGTCTAAACTTTGGCGGGTGTGGTTGAGATCGCCCTGTCTGGACAGCTGAGCTGTAAAGGGGCAAAGGTGGGTGAGAACACTGCCAGGTCATCCCTACCCCTGGTAGGATCCTGGCCGCGTAGATTGCAAAACCTGTTGGGTGGAACCGTGGGACGGGAGCGTCCTGTGTTTCATCGATGATGGGAGAAACTCAAAGCAGGAGTCCACTTGTTCCAGGGTCATGTAACTGGGCGGATCAGGCTGCTGGGGCCCCTTTGTGTACTCTGGGGGTGGGGGTGGGGTGTTCGCCGAGAAACCTGCTCTTGGTTACCAGGACTGTGGCTTTTATTCATAGAGATGGAAACATTTTGATATAGGTACTATTTCACCAAAGAATAATGACAAGTTTTTTTTTTTTTTTTTTTAAGCAGAAAAGCTCTGACTCAGGTTGAAAATGCATACAAACACTCAATGTATTTCAGGCCTTATCACAGTGATAATCTAGAGTTTTCTTTGTTCCACTTCACTGTTGGGAAGTACCAGGAGCTAGGGAAGGGACTAGTATCTTGTCTGGATGCATTCATTCCCAGGTGCTTACTTTTGTATCAAAATCTTTATTTCTGATGCTGGGGTAAGTATCAGAACAATGAAAGGTACTTTAAAAAAAAAAAAAAAAAAAAAAAGGAGAGGGGCTGGGAAGGTGGCTCAGTGGTAGAGTGTTTGCTTTCCATGCATGAGGCCCTGGGTTCGATTCCTCAGCACCACATAAGCAGAAAAAGCCAGAAGTGGCGCTGTGGCTCAAGTGGTAGAGTGCTAGTCTTGAGCTGAAGAGCTGAGGGACAGCACCCAGGCCCAGAGTTCAAGCCCCACGACCGACATAAAAACAACAACAACAAAAAAAAAACAACCCTTACATTTACACACACACTCTGGGAACTTCCTGATCTGTTTCTTCTTCTAGCCTTTGGCCATATGAGAAATCAGTGTGGTCACATCTTGGTGTTGGATAAAATTTTGTTTTGAACATGGGAAGTTGTTCCAGCATTGGGGATTGTGCTTTACTGATGTTGAAGCTTGACTGATTAACTCTGAGACTAGGCTGTGCCCTGTGGGATCTGAAAGGCAGTGTTATCCTGTCTGCCCAACACTGGAATGGTCAGTGATTTCTCAGCCAGTTTCTCTCTACTCTGCTTTATATTGGCTGGCCCAGGAGTAAGCTGAGACATGGAGACAGGGACATTCCAGCCCAGCCCTTCTAATCCTATGTGCTGGCAGGTTGTCCTAGGGTCCCCTTAGGAGAGTAGGCTGTGGGACACAGGCAAGTGAGGGGAAAGGTACAGAGCCAGGTAGGGCGGTCTGGGCTATTTTGAAGGGCATCAGTGGGTAGTGACAAGCAGTCTGTAGAAAGAGGCCATGTTGGCCCAGGTGAAGGAGTAGGGTAGGGCTAGAAAGGGGAGTGTGTGTGTGAGGGTATGTTGGAAGTGTCTCTGTAAGTGATGGGTACTTTGTCTTCCAGGTGCCAGGACATTTGGTAGTATCCAAGGTGGGGTTAGCCTGTTTTTTGTTTTGTCCTGGGTGGTGCTCTAGGGATCAGAACCAGCCAGGGTGTCAAGCATGCTACCAGGTGCTCCTCTCTCTACTGCTTTGGTTTTTACTTTGCCCATCTAAGCTTTTGTGTCTGATGAATATTCACATAATATTTTATTAAGAATAACAACTAGTATTCACTTTGCTTCCCCCTTCCCCCCCACATCTGGGGTAAGCTGGGGTAAGTCATATTTTACCTGAGTCCATCTTTACACATCCTCCAGAGGATGGATACCGAGAGACATAAAGTGATTTTCTAATTTGCCAAAGGATCGGCAATTAGTCATTTACTTCCTCTTTCCTTTTAATTATCTAAAGGGGGGGAGGGAAGGAGGAAGGAAGGAAGGAAAAGGAGGGAGTTTGGGAAATTAGTGTCCATTGTGAAATAGAGGACCCAGGTGTTGATGGAAGGGGCCTCTGAGAGCAGGTGGTGGAAATGGAGCAGTTCCTGGTGGAGGCATGGCCTGAAGCTAGTGGCTTGGGCTAGAGAAGCGGCCTCCACAGGGCATCCCACAAGTCTGGGTGTCTATGTGGCTAGTTGTAGTTCCTTTAAGTCTATAGCTCGCCCCAACAAATTTCTTCCTTTTTGGGGGGGGGGGGTCCAGTAGTGGGGCCTGAACTCTGGGCCTGGGCGCTGTCCCTCAGCTCAAAGCTAGCGCTCTACCACTTGAGCCACAGTGCCACTTCTGGCTTTTTTCTTTTTGCTTATGGGGTGCTGAGGAATCGAACCTAGGGCCTCAGGCATGCAAGGCAAGCGCTCTACCACTGAGCCACCTTCCCAGGCCCTCCTCCACCCCCCCCCCCCAACAAATTTCTTGACATTGAACTTTTCTTGGTCTTTCTGCCCTGTGGGCTCTCCTTGGGCCTATTGAATGAAAACACTCTAGGACAGACGTGTTCTTCAGCCAAAATCACACATTTGATGTCAGGAATTGGCTTTGAGATTTAACTAGGCTAGATTTTAGGAAGGTGGCCGCACTCTTTGGATGGTCAGGGGAAATGTGACAGGGAGGAAGGTGACATTGGTACCAGGTTTAGCTGTAGGCTTTCATGGAAAATTTGCTGCCTGAGAGTTTGAAAACGAGGAACCTGCCTCCCAGGCCTCAAGTTCAAATCCCAGTGCATACATGCAAGCACGTGCACGTGTACACACAATAACACAGCACAGGTAGCTGAAGGGCCACAAGTAGTGTTTGGGCTGAACTAAGAGGACTCTGGGATGATTCCTTTGCTTAATGAATGACTGCAGTTTTGGTTTCTTGTTTATTCTCTTGGTTTTTCTTCAGTTTCTGGAGCAGAGACTATTTAAAAAAAAAAAAAAGCACAAGCTGTGAGTGGCTCATACCTATAATCTAGCACTTTGGAGGCTGAGGTCTCCTGATCATGAGTTCTAGGTCAGCCTGGGCTACTTAGGGAGACCTTGTCACAACAGCATAGACCAACAGCTTCACTATAAAGTGATTCTTTAGAGGTATTGATCATTTTCGTTTTTCTTTGCCCAGACAGGCTGGAGAAGGCAGGTTAATAGACAATTTGGGAACTCGGAGGTCTTAACCTAAAAACTGAGGATTTTTAAAAAATTTTTTCTTTTCCTACAATCTGATTTCAGACACACAGGACCCAGATTTTTGGCTCAGTCTTTTGACTGCTTGATGGTTGAGCTGGCTCACAGGTGTGGATTAAACCCTCTCCCCGCACCCTGCCTCCCTTCTTAAAGGCTGTGTTGAAAGCGGGTGTGAATGGCACACAGGCCCCTTAATTCAGCTGAAGTTGACAAAGTCCAACAGGGAAACCTGCCCTGGGATCACCTTACACCATCAGTCTCCACTCTGTACCCTCAGACTTCTACTCCATCTCCCCAGTCACGGGTGTCTGTGTCAGGGTTGATGCATAGTTTCTCAGGAAAGGAGACATTGGGCTATACTCCCACCCCTCACCCTGGGTTTCCTTCTACAGTGCTGGACACACACAATCCCAGGCCCTGCAAGGCCATTTAAGGAAAGGCGGCGGCTGCTTGCAGCCAGGTGGCTATGAAAATCCCTGTTTGCTATCTGGGCCTTTCATTGGTCCAACCTTTTCTTCTAAAAGACTCACCTTGGTGTCTGTTACACGCTGTCTTCCAAGCGCAGCCTCAGATAAGCCAGACGCTAAGCAATCACCTCCCACATCTTCCAGAATCTGCCAAAACCCTAAAATCCCCGAGAGGCACCTGCCACAGTCCAGACGGTTTCTACTCTGTTGTGCCCGCCCTCCCGCTCCTGTCAGAGCTTGAGGCTTTCCAAAGGAGAATGAAGTCAGTATAGTTTACGGTAGTTCAGTGAGCATATGCAGGTTTGAGGTGTAACTACTAGCCAAGTGACTTGGCATTTACCACTTCACTGCTGTGAGGCCCAGTTTCCTCATCTGTAAAATGGGTGTTGTCTTTGTGTGTGTGTGTGTGTGGGGGGGGGGGGTGTCTTGGGGCTTGAACTCAGGGCTAGGGTACTGCCCTGAGCTGTTTTGCTCAAGGCTAGTACTTTACCACTTGAGCCATAGAGCCCCACTTCCTGCTTTTTTGAGTAGATTATTGGAGATAAGAGTCTCATGGACTTTCCTGCCTGAGGCTGGCTTCATTCAAACCCCGATCCTTAGATCTCAGCCTCCTGAGCAGCTAGAATTGCAGGTGTGAGCCACCAGTGCCTGGCTTGGGTTGTCTTCATCTAGCTAAGATTTGGGGCATTTGGGGGGTGAAAGGATCCATGAAAGGATCCATCACATCCATGCCAGGGGACCATGCAGAGGAGGTAGGCAGGCACAGGAGAAAGATTATTGCAAAGTTTATTAGAGGAGCCATATTTCCCCTGGAGAGAGAGAGAGCACATGGCAGCCTCCCCTATAGGTAGCAGCAGGGTCTGGGGGGTTAGGAAGTGAGGTAGATGGGAGTTCAGGTGGGTCTGGGTGGAGAGAGGGAGGGGCCAGCTGTAAGGTGGGAATACCAGGGCAGGGAGGAGCTCAGATCTGGGTTGAGCTGAGGACCAAAAGTGGGCATCATGCTTACAGAGGGTCCACATTCATTTAAGTTGACAAAGCCAGTGCCTATTTTATATTAACAGTAGGCTTAGGTAGATCCTCGGGTTAAGAATGAATAAAGAAGCTATGGCCAAAGTGGTGCTGTAGCTCAAGTGGTAGAGTGCTAGCCTTGAGCTGAAAAGCTGAGGGAAAGCGCTCAGGCCCAGAGTTCAAGCCCCACTACTGACGACAACAACAACAACAACAACA